TCCCTGCTCATGTTCTATCTCTCTCTGTCTCTCAGAAATGAATAAACGTAAAACAATTTTTTTAATAAAAAAACAAAAAAAACCCATTTTTCTTAGAGAAACATTGTTTTTTTCTGTGTATACATTAGTTATCAGTTACCATTAAATATAACTCTTCTCCCATAGCCATGCTCTGATTAGTATGTTCTTTTTACTTTACTATAATTTCCATCTTCTAGCCAGTATGCTTCAAGGCTGACATGTGGAGCTGGACCTTCAGGCTAGATTTATACTGCAAAGCTTTGTGGCTTCTCTCAGATGCTAGCTCCATCCTCATTTAAAGCCTGCTGATGACTTAGTTCCCCTTGTGTTTCAACTCCTTTTTTTCTCAACCCTAACTCTTTTATTTCTCTTCCCTGTAACAAAATTAGGAAGAGGGAGAAAAACACCTATTCCTTTATCCTGAACACATGATTCTGCCTCAGGTTCTTCCTAATACAAAGAAAGTAATTTCTACTTGTCCTTAAATAAGATTCAAATATCTCCCTTTATGTTGTTTTCCCACTGGGAGTTCTTTAAACTAGTGATCATGTACAACAGGACTTAGCGAAGCCATAGCAATGGTTCCACAAGAGGCAGTTTATACAAAGCATTTTTTGTGATAAGAGTTCCCCAGAAACTCTTTTTCTAACAAAAGACATAGCGCTCTCTAAAGGAAAAATGAAGCAACATTTAGACAAAGCTCCTGATTGGGCATTTAAGCTCCTCTGAAGAGTGCTGGTCCCAATCGGTGGCTAACCTCATGAATCAGCAGCAGAGATCCACCGGAAGTCACTTTAATATCTCTGGGACCACGTTCCTTCACCAGGCATGCTGGAGTTCAATAAATGCTCACTGAGTGCTCAACAGGAATGATCCAGACCCAGGGCATTCCACAGCACAGCTGCCCAATCCAACGTAAAGGGTGATTTTTTTCTTCTTTCTATGGTGATGGCCTACTCACCTTGAGTGGGTGATGGCCCACTCAGTTTTTGCATATTGCTAACAAAATCTGATCACCCTGAGTTTCAATGTCTTTTAGAATATGTATATGCAATCACCACTCATTAGGACAATATTGGTGTGTAGTGAATGTTGATTGAATGAATGAAGGAAAATGACCAGAGTTCATAGTGTTAATTTATATCAGCGTCCTCTGATATTTTTGTATTGCACACCCCATTAGTTAAAAAGTAAACAATTCCCTTTGGGTGCCTGGATGGCTCAGTTGGTTAAGTGTCCAACTATTGATTTCGGCTCAGGTCATGATCTCATGGTTTGTGAGTTTGAGCCCCGTGTCGGGCTCCACACTGACACTGGGGTGCCTGCTTGGGATTCTTTCTCTCTCCTTCTCTCTGCCCCTCCCTTGCTCACACTCTCTCTCAAAATAAATGAATAAACATTAAAAAAGTAAACAACCTCAAAATGTATATTATTTATTTAAAAGTTATTCAGATATACTACAGTAGTAATGTTTTCTGTACATGAAGATATACACAAAAATATAAATTTTAAAAAGGATAAGATAAAGAAACAAGTAATACTTTTAAGTAATTATTTTATTATTGGCAATATTTACTCTCACTAAAATCTTTTACATATTATTAATATTCTTTGTGGGAACAATGCAGTTCAGTATGCTGCTTTCTGTTTTAAAATCTTGGTTTAGGACTTTGTGATACAATCATTCAATGGTTTCGTCCTAAGTTTGGTTTGTTTTCTTACTAGGTTTTAATTGCTGTCTGAGGTAAAAAACACACTTGATAGATCCAAATGGAAGGCTTGCACCATCAGCCTCTCTTACTAAATCATGGTATTCTTTGCTCAGTCATGTTCACCAATTATGCAAATGTTTTGTGGAAATTCAGCTAATACCTTTCTGTGTTTTCTGATCTCAACCTAATTTTCTTATGAATGAATCAGAAGGGACACTGATGGAATATAGCTATGTTTTTATATTTTTGTAAAATGTGTTCAAGATTGTGTGATTGATTTTTAAATGCTAGAAAATCCAGTGTCTTAGTGTGAAGACATGAAAGATGTCATAGGTGGTGCCTATGTCGTGTTCAACAATGTCACATAATGATGAAAACAATGGTTTCTCTATAGCACCAGCTTCTTCTGAAGGTCGGTTACTTTCTCACTCATTATTAAATTGCCACTTTTACATTGAGGAACAGATTAGGTGTGTGTGTGTGTGTGTGTGTGTGTGTGTGTGTGTGTGTGTGTATTACATATGTATGTATTCTACTTGTTAGGTAGAAATCTAATCGTTACTTGACATTATTTAAAAGATCAGAAATTTGACAAAATTGAATTTTTGCAAAAACACCACCAGCAGCAAAACACAAAATTGCATTTTTGCAAAAACACAACCTCCTGTATGACCACTCTTAAGGACTTTGCCACAAGATAACCAGCAAACCTCTCCGCAGTACAAATGATTTGCATGATCACTCCACGTGTCATTACAAAAGAAATATTTTACTACATTGCAGATGATCTTATTTTTGTAAAATTAATACCAACCCTTACATTCTCTGTTTCTGTATGGTCTCACTACTCGAGGTGTGGTACATTGACCAGCAGCAGCAGCATCACCTGAAGCTGGTTAGAAATGCAGAATCCAGGACAGGTTAGGACGACTGAATCAAAATCTACATTTTACAAGACCTCAGGTGGCTCACACACACGTTCAGGTTTGAGAGTATTGCCCTATGAAATTCTGACTTCTACTTCTTTGTAAGTTTGTGTTTTTGTTTGTTTGTTTATTTATCATCCAAGTTAGTTAGCACATGGTGCAACAATGATTTCTGGAGTAGATTCCTTAAGCCCCTTACCCATTTAGCCCATCCCCTCCTCCCTCAACCCCTCCAGCAACCCTCTGCTTGTTCTCTATATTTAAGAGTCTCTTATGTTTTGTCTTCCTCCTTTTTGTATATTATTTTTGCTTCTCTTCCCTTGTGTTCATCGGTTTTGTATTTTAAATCCCTCATGAGTGAAGTCATATGCTATTTGTCTTTCTCTAATTTTGCTCTGCATAATACCCTCTAGTTCCATCCACATAGTTGCAGATGGCAAGATTTCATTCTTTTTGATTGCTGAGTAATTCTCCATTGCATATATATATACCACATCTTTATCCACTCATCCATCAATGGACATGTGGGATCTTTCCGTACTTTGGGTATTGTCAATATTGTTATAAACATTGGGGTGCATGTGCTCTTTCAAAACAGCACACCTGTATCCCTTGGATAAATACCTGGTAGTGGAATTGCTGGGTTGTAGGATAGTTCTATTTTTAATTTTTTGAGGAACCTCCATACTGTTTTCCAGAGTGGCTGCACCAGTTTGCATTCCCACCAGTAGTGCAAAAGAGGTCCTCTTTCTCCGCATCCTCACCAACATCTGTTGTTGCCTGAGTTGTTGATGTTAGCCATTGTGACAGGTGTGAGGTAGTATCTCATTGTGGTTTTGATTTGTATTTCCCTGATGATGAGTGATATTGAGCATTTTTTCATGTGTCGGTTGGCCATCTGGATGTCTTTGGAGAAGTATATATATTCATGTCTTTTGCCCATTTCTTCACTGGATTATTTGTTTTTTGGGTGTTGAGTTTGTCAGTTCTTTATAGATTTTGGATACTAGTCCTTTATTCCTTTATCTGATATGTTGTTTTCAAGTATCCTCTCCCATTCCACTGGTTGCCTTTTTGTTTTGCCAATTGTTTTCTTCACTGTGCAGAAGATTTTTCTTTTGATAAGGTCCCAGTAGATCATTTTTGCTTTTGTGCCCCTTGCCTCTGGAGACGTGTTGAGTAAGAAGTTTCTGTGGCCGAGGTCAAAGAGGTTTTTGCTTGCTTTCTCCTCGAGGATTTTGATGGCTTTCTGTCTTATGTTTACTTTCATCCATTTTGAGTTTATTTTTGTGTGTAGTGTAATAAAGTGTTCCAGGTTCATTTTTCTGCATGTTGCTATCCTGTTTTCCCAGCACCACTTGCTGAAAAGACTGTCTTTATTCCATTAGATATTTCTTCCTGTTTTGTCAAAGATTAGTTGGCCATACATTTGTGGGCCCATTTCTGGGTTCTCTATTCTGTTTCATAGATCTGAGCATCTGTTTCTGTGTCAGTACCATACTGTCTTGATGATTACAGCTTTGTAATACAGCTTGAAGTCCGGGATTGTGATGCCTCCGGCTTTGGTTTTCTTTTTCTTTTTCTTTTTTTTTTTTTTTAATTTTTTTTTCAACGTTTTTTATTTATTTTTGGGACAGAGAGAGACAGAGCATGAACGGGGGAGGGGCAGAGAGAGAGGGAGACACAGAATCGGAAACAGGCTCCAGGTTCCGAGCCATCAGCCCAGAGCCTGACGCGGGGCTCGAACTCACGGACCGCGAGATCGTGACCTGGCTGAAGTCGGACGCTTAACCGACTGCGCCACCCAGGCGCCCCTGGTTTTCTTTTTCAAGATTGCTTTGACTATTTGGGATCTTTTCTGATTCCATACAAATTTTAGGGTTGTTTTTTCTAGCTCTGTGAAAAATGCTGGTGTTATTTTGATAGGGATTGCCGTTTATTTATTTATTTATTTTGAGAGAGAGTGTGAGCAAGCATGAGCAGTGGAGGGGCAAAGACAGAGGGAGAGAGAGAATCCCAAGCAGGCCCCTCAGCATGTGGCCCAACGTGGGGCTTGAGTCCACCTCATTGAGATCATGACTTGAGTCAAAATCAAGAGTCTGTCTACTAACTGACTGAGCCACACAGGCACTCATTTGGCTTTCATTTCTTTGCTGCAATATCTTGCTTAGGACAAATGAATTAAAGAATTTCACACATGGGGCAAATCTGTAGCCTGACTTGCAAATCCTTTTTTCCTCCAATCAAACCACTTGTTCCTTTGGTGCTAACATTCACTAAGTTTTCAAGAAGCCATTTTCTATGGAGAATACATCTTCTTAGTGCCTCATTCCATTAGTGACTCTCTCTCTCTCTCTCTCTCTCTCTCTCTCTCTCTCACACACACACACACACACTTTGTTCTTACAAAGTTCATTATTGAAAAATAACCTAGTAATACCATTAACTCAGACATCTGTACTTTCACCCCAAAGCATAAAAAACCTCCCACTCAGTATAATTCGTCTGTACACATTTCTTCTAACCTTCAACCATGTTTTCTGTGCATCTTTAAATACTATTTGCTGATCAAGGAATCCATTCTAGTTTGTGAACGTATTCTTTTCCACATCTGTTTCAGCCATTTTTACCATAGAAGGAAGAACACAGAAAAAATATGCATGATCTTTTGCTTCTTCTAAGAAATCCTTAAAGATGCTTCTTAATTGTTGTACACTGACATTTAAAAAAAATAGTGGATTGGGTGACACCCAACCTAAAATAATGCCAACGCTATTTTAGAAGTTTGTGTCTTCATTCTGAATGCTTACTTTTTGGACATTCTGCTACTCATGGTGACTTCCTACTCACATGCAGCCTAACATTTGAGGCAGATTAATGACAGTGGATGTAAACATGTATTTCAAAGAATCATCGTTTCCATGTTTTTCATTTGGCTGACGTCTCGTCAGAAGTGATCAGATCACCACTGCTGCACCTCGCAGCATGGCTGACCCAGAGCCCATTTACGTGCTGGGCTCATGGTCAGCTGGGCCATTTCCACATTGTCTGTCCGCATAAATCTTCCAACTGCTATTTCTTGGCAGGAAACTTTTAAAGCCAAGTGTTTATTTTCTGAGAGTTAGTTTAGTTAAAATCAGGTACTGTATTCCATCAATGTCCCAACAGGGCATATTTCACACTACACTGAAGTGAAAGATGCCACGTGTAGAGCCCCAATTTATGTCAGCACAAGGTCCATAGGTGACAACCGTGTACACCTTGGCGAATTGTTTATAAAATTCACAGCAGCACGCTTCAGTTCTGCTTCCAAAGCAGAGGTGGGTATATGTAGAATGGATCTGCCTGGAAATAGGAGGAGAAGGGCAAGTGATGGTCACTTGGGATGGTTGAAGCCGATGGGGAAAACATCCTCATCACAGACTCGCCTTCCTGACCCCCGGTATAACCCTTCAGTTTGGCCCTGGGAGATCTGGCTTTGTAGATAGGAGCTCATTTCTTGCCTGTCCAGGTATAATATGGATGCAACCCACAGCTGTCTTGTCCTCTCTTTGGCAAACACTCCTATCTCCCCACACACGCTCTTAAACTCTTCCACAGTTCAATACTCTTTTCTTGTAAACAAGACTTGGAGAGAATATTTTTTTTCTCTTGCCCAAAAGCAGATTCAACCAACTCCATCGAGGTGGTAGAGGGCTTTCCCCCTCTCTACAAAAGCAATAAAGCTGACTTTGCTGTCGTCAAGTTTTATAAGGTAGTGCTGACCCTATCACGGACCGTTCTCCTCCAGACTGCTTTACTCATTAACCACAGCTGAGTGTTAACCTTTCCAGACATAAATAATACAGCAGCACCTTGGCCTGAATGGAAGAGGGAATGGCTAAGCCTTTAATTTGTCTTTTTCCCTTGGATACTTGCAAACTTCTTTTTCTTCCTGTGTTTGACAAAATGTCAAAACCGTATTTCTCTTTGTGTTAAGAAATTCTTCATCCAGCCCTGAACCTGTGCTCTCTGCCATTTAACTTTGCAACATGTGTGGTGGGAGGGTGACTCAGCCATGTGACGTGCTTTGGCCAGAGAGATATTAGCAGACGCGACCAACAGGCTGCAAATGGGTGTGGGCACTGGAGCTTGCTCCCCTGTGCCTCCACAATCACCAGGATGACAAGCTGTGTTAGCCCACTGGTCCCAGGATGAGGCTGAGGTTCATATGGAACAGAGTACTTCAGTCACTCCAGTTACCACAAACTCATCCAGATTAGCTGACAACTGCTGAGTCTCAGACAGGGAAGTCCAGCCAAGATCAGTGAGTGAAGCCACCTCGCTGACCCTAAGTTGATTCCAGAAGTGAGAGCATAAACACTGGTGAATGCGCCTGGGATTCCGTGGTTCTTGGGTCTGCCCTTCTGTCTAAAGCCTGCCCCACCCCTGCACTCTGGACCCAGGCAAGCCCTCTTGTCAGGGACCCCTCTCTAATCATCATCCTGACTCCTACTTCCTGAGCCCCTTCTTCCTTATTAGCTCTTTTCTCATCAGCACTGGAATCATCTCGTCTCTCCTATCATTTGCTCCTTGTGTCTTATCATCCTTGTGTCACTTGCCACCTCATCTGCCCTTCCCTTTACAGGTAGAATATTGAAGGCGAAAGTTAGCCCTGCCCCCAGGTTCCACTTCCCACCATCCATTCACTCTGCAATTGCTCTCCTGTCACATTACCAAAACTGCTCCTGCCCAGGCCACTGGAGATCTGCTAGTTACAGAATCATGGACACTTGCCCTCCTTCACCCTTTTTCTCCCCCCCTCTCCCCCTTCTCCTCTTACCCCTTCACATATTCACTCTGGCATCATATTTTCCTGGTCTCCTACTTCTCTGCTGATCCTCCGGTTGCCTCATGATCCTTAGGCTGGTTCCCTCAGGGTCTGTCCTCAGATCCCCCTCTTTACTCTCTACCTGGGATAATCTCATCCCATTCCCATTGTCTCTGTTACCAACCATAGGCTGGGGACTCCCACATTTCTAAGTCCTGCCAGTTCCCTGTACCAAGCTTGAGAAATGTATGTGTAAGAGTCTGTTGGAGAGCCCAAAGACAAATGTGAGATCTCTACAATTTAACGCAGTGGTGTCCCCTTTAGACCCCCTCTTTCCCCAGTGTCTGCCATGTAAGTGAACACTACATCTCTCCCAGCCAGTAACACAAGCTTTATTTAGCCTTAGCTTCTCTCCTGCTTCCTTTTCCCACATTCAACTCATTCTCAAGTCCTGCTAATTCTACCCTCCTAACACATCGTCAGTCGTTCACTGTTCTCTGTCTCAGCGTCAGCTACCTTAGCTCAAGCCACTTTTATCCTTTGACTTGATTGCCTTTCCAGGCTCCTAACTTGCCTCCCATCCTCACCTTTCCCGGCTCTAAGCCATTTCCCATACTGCTACTAACACCATCCTCCTAAAATGAAAATTTGATCACCTCATTCCTCTGCTTAGAAGCTTTCAATGATTTTCCACTGCTGGGAATCACCAAAGTCTCTTTGTGGTCTGGATCCTTGCTTACCTCTCCAGTGTAACCTCTTGACATTCCCTTCCTAAAACTAGTGGAAGCCATAAAGAGCTACTTGCAGGGGCACCTGGGTAAACTCAGTTGGTTAAGTGTCCAACTCTTGATTTTGGCTCAGGTCATCACCTCACGTTCATGGGATTGAGCCCCACATCAGGCTCTGCACTGACAGCACAGAACCTGCTTGGGATTCTCTCTCTCCCCCTCTCTCTGTCCCTCTCTCGCTTGAGCTCTTTCTCAAAATAAATAAAGAAACATTAAAAAAAAAAAGAACTACTTGAAGTTGCTCAAGGACACCCTGTTTTCTCCCTCTTGCAGCTTTTGTACCTCCAGCTCTGCCTGCTTGGAATAACCCACAGCACAGACTTGCACTGGCAGGTCAGGTATGAAGCATCCATGTATCCCCCACATGTATTGGCACATCACCCCCACCCAGTCTACTACTTACACTCTCCCCTTTCACTCAGTGGCCTCCTTCCTTGTCCATCAACTGTGTGCAAGTCCTTGAAGCAGGGATTGTGTCTTGTTCATCCCTGCATCCTCAGAACCCACCACATCTGGGAACATAGTAGGTGGTCAATCAACGTCGGTTGACTGATTTGACTGAGAAAATAAATTAATTAATATGCACATGAACCACAGACCTCTCAACTGAACTCTTTTCTACCTTGTATACTGTAGAGGGAAGACCTTTTGATTCCTCAAAGATTTCCTCTTCTCACCTATCATCTACAAATGGGTTCTGTCCTTATTCTATTGGTGGTATCTTTAGGTCCTATAAAAATGTCTACAATTCTTTTATGAGCTATCTCAGAGCAATACACTTCTTAAGCTTCCCTTGTCTCTAATGGTTGCCATATGGGGACGTGATACACTAATGTTTGCTTCAATAAGCTGAAGTTTTTGTTAAAACAAACTGAACTGCCTTCAGCTCACCTCCCATTCTAAAGGGCCCACTAAAATTGATTCTGTGAAATAGGCTTTTAAAAAATATCCTCCTTAAGGACAAAATATAAACAGGGGAGGGCTGTTAGCTCAGAAAACACAAGCCTATTTGGAGACCACGTTTGTTTCACTTGACCACACAGGAGGTGATAACATCACTGTCATAAAGCGGTCTAAACCTGTTTTCATCCACACTAATGGACCCAGAGTTCTCAAAGATTCTGAGAACAAAATGATGCCAGATTCAGCTTTGAATGACTTGGGGAGTGACCCAGCTATGACATGCCCACAATTCATGTGTCTGTGTGATGATGGGGACAGTGCACACAAGGACTATAGCACAAAATTTCTTGTTCATTTGTACCGTAAGTTCTCCATACTGATAAACCAGAGTACCACAATTCTGTGTCTAAAAGCTTTTCTTAGGATGGCATGAAACCTACGGATTATGCCAATTTATACACAAACACACACATATATTTTATAATATTTGTCATGTAAGCCTTCTGTTTACTATCTTCTAAGACTAAGAACAGTAAATAGCTCCAGACTGACTATTTTCTTGCAATATGACCCATTTGGAGTCATATTGTGAATTGAGGGTTCTAGAATCACCATCAGGAAAGCACTTCAAGACTGGAACTCAGCTTCAATACGGAGAAGAAAGTTTTGACTCTCTAGCTCCTGTTGGTAGAAAGCCTTGGCAGTGGTCATTTGGCTGCGTAGTTACCTTGAACTCTGATTGCTTGTGTCCACTTCCAGGGTGAAATGTATCCTCAGAGGCCTGAAAACATACCCCAGACAGGGAACACAGATGGACGGGCCAAGGAAATGCATCAAATAGACCTGGAAAGGCAGTGGAGGTTCAGAGCGAACACAGCCCCAGGCAAGGTACTGGGAGAACCCAGTATATTATAAACATATAATATAATGTTGTCATGATCTATGCCAGACCTTTTGTTTTTGGACTGAGGAAGTAGAGTTCAGTGTCTGCAAAGTTCTGAATGAATGTTTTCTCTCCAGCCATACAAGTCGTAGGAATGGAGAGAATGACCTCCAACGACTTCAGAAGGTAGTGGAGTGTCCAAACTCTCATGACTATATACTCCTATCAGTTAAAAAAAATGTATATTTATTTATTAATAGATTGCAAGCATGTACTACCATACTAACACAATGTGCACGTGATAAAGCATATACAAAAAAAAAAAAAAAGGAAACTAAGCAATGTCTGAGATAAACGTACAGGGCTTCTAACACTTTGTTCCCACGTGATACGAGATTGCCGTTCATGCCTCCTGTTGTGATGAGGGCCGTCTCTGCTAATGGTGAAGAGCTTTAGCTACTCACATGCCAGCCTACAGAGAACAAAAGGAAGATCTAGTGAGTGAGAAGTTGGAGAATTCTTCAGAGAGGGGATTATACGTGGAGATGTGGACTTCCATTTCTGGAGATGTACTGGACCAGAAATCCTGATAACCTTTCCACTCCAAACTAAACAAGCAAACAACAATTTTTTAAATTGAATAATTTAAATAATTATTTATGAATAATATGTTTTAAAAATTCAGAACGCTTGGGGCAGTGGAGAAAGACTCAGGATATAAAGATAAAGTGGCCATGGAAGACAGCAACTGTCCTTAAGGGTTTCTCGGACCCCTTCATCTATTTCAGTGCCTTGGGTTTCGTGGCCATGCTGTGGAAGGCGGGCAGTTGGAATGGCAGGGGTTCCCCACACACTACTCCCTCAGTGGAAGGAAAGAAAATTCTGCTTCACAAGGACACAAACGAGGAAACTTGTCTCAGCCTGCCTTGGCCCTTGGAAAAAGAAAAATCTCTCCCAAATAAGTATCCCAGCCACAGAACTGTTTCCAGGCAGGTCTGGGGCTTGAATTTGCACTATCTCTGTATACGAAAAAGCATGGAGATTAATTACCAGGAAATTAGTTCAGCCCGATGTTGAAAGCACCCTGGCAGATGGCAGCAGCACAAATGCAAATTCTTTCTGGAAGAACAGAACTTTGTCAGCCCCAGTCTCCTGGGGTTCCCATCGATACAGGCCTGAGAAACGGGCATGCAGAGGAGAGAGAAGGTCAACCACAGAGTCAAGCAGAGTTTCCCAAAAGAGATGGTATAGAAAATAGGAAGAAGCAGTATTAGAAGAGTAGAGGCTGAGGACTTTCCAGGTTGGAATCACAATAAATCCCAAGCAGGATAACAAAGCAAAAAAATCCACACTTTGACACACTTTTGTAAAATTGCTTTCACCCCGAAGGCAAAGAACAGATCTTAAAAACAGCCAGAGAGGGAACTTGGATCATAGGAACGGCAACTGACAGCCACAAGCCTCTCCAACAGCAACACAGAAGCCAAAAGTAGAGGAAAACCAGCTCCAAAAGGCTGAGAATCAAAAATGGTATACCCTGTGAACATGTCTTTCACGACAATACAGAGAAAGAAAAAACATTTTTCAGACAGATGTCAAGAGAATTCGCCACCATGAGAACCTTCCTTCAATAACCTCTAACCTTTGAGCGATCCCTCTCATTCTGAGAACAGTTCTCCCAGTGCTGATCCAGAGACTGGCAGGAGTCGTTTCTACAGGAGAAGATGGTCGCCTCCCTTCTGTCCCTCTCGCACTTCCTGTCTCGGTCCCATGTGCCCAGAGCTACCTGAAAGGGCTGGGTGTATTTCTTCTCTCCCTTCTCTTATCACATTGTTGACATGACATTAAGGAGCCCCCTGAAGGATTGTTCTTTTCCTTTCCTGAATGGGCTGTCTGCACCAGATGTTAGAAATCAGATTCCATCCAGAAATCTCCGAAAAGAGGCCCTTTCTGGGCTCCCCCACAAGGCAAGGCCAGAAAGGCCTACGGGGTTCACACAAGAAAGAGAAGGCTAACAAGCTTTGTTTTCCAGTCGGCCTGATATTCATCCCCATCGGCAGTGGTTCAGTGTGCTCGTCACCAACGTGTCTGGGTGACGCTAACAGCACCGTCAGGTGAAGTGAGAGGGGCACAGTGAAGAAAACACCAGGAGGCATAATTAGAACGAAGCGCTAATAACTCTGCCCATCAAAAAGCCCCTTTCCTTGTGACACTGGGCGCAGTTCATTAAGCAGGGCTGCCAGCTGGAAAGGAGTAGGCAAACACATGTGCCAGGGTGAGCCTGTCCTTGTCCTCGAGGCTGAGAGCACCTCCTTGCAGCCCAGCTGCCTAGAGAGCTCGTGGACACAACGTGCAGCTCGAAGCGACTCATGATGTCAGGAGCTTGGGACCAGTCCTTAGCACCCCACCATGGAGTGACTCTTCTGAAGTGAATTCGCTCCAGGATGGAGCCCTGCAGGGCATCAGTAGCCTGCAGAGGTAAGATCGGCTTTTCTCAGGGAGCCTGAGCATCCAGTACGGCAACACGCATCACAGGACAGAGGTTCATGCATAAAAGGTTCGGGCAAACTACAAGTGTCTGACTAATTTTATGATTTCCAAATAACACAGCCATTCCGCCGTCCTTCACAGGGAAGAAAAACTCAGGCATGATTCCTGCCTCATTTGCTTCTTGGAACAAACTTGCTAAGACGGAGATTATTGGCATTCTTACTTTACAGATGGAAGGTGCTGAAGGGGATAGTGAAGGGGTCAATGCCCTGTGGCTGGTAAGCTCAGAGCCCTAGTCCTTTCTATGCAAAGACAGAGCTTAGTCCCACAAAGATGGTAGCTCCTAGCCTGAGAGGTTATGCAAGTACATAAAAAAAATCCTATTAGTATTTATGGAGCTCTTCCTTTGTGCTAGGAACACACACAGGGTTTTACATGTGTTAATTCTTTTAATCCTCACAGCCTCCTAGGAAGTAAGCACTATTTTTATTCCTATTTTACAAAATTGGAAAACTAAGGCCCTGAGATGTTAAGTTTCTTGCCCAAGGTCATAGAGCTAGTTACCCCTCCGGAGCCTTTGTTCTTCATCCCTCTTGTGAGTGTCACATTCTTTCATCCCTCCTTCCTCTTTCCTCCAGCTCTCTTCTTCCTCTTCTGTCCCTAAATAAGGTTCTGGTAGGTACTGAAATGATAAACCAATATAAAGAAAATTTTCAGGGAGCCCGGGTGGCTCAGTAGGTTAAGCGTCCAACTCTTGATTTCAGCTCAGTCATGATCACATGGTTCATGAGATTGAGCCCTGTATCAAGTCTGCTTGGGATTCTCTCTCTCTCTCTTTCTCTCTTTGCCCCTCTCCTGCTTGTGCGCACATGCTCTGTTTCTCTTTCTCTCTCAAAAAAGGAAATGTTTGTTCATTGTTTTTTCTTTCATCACCAGTGCTGTCACCTACTAAGTTCTCAACCTGGATGGCATCTTTGGCCGTTTTTTTCTGAGGAGGGAAGGATCAGCATTAAGTGACTTAAACTCAGTCACTCTTGAAGGCACCACGAGCATGAGACCTAACAGGTACTTTGTGACTGTGAATGAAAAGAAGCCTGATTGGCAAGGACTTAACCCAGGTCTTGGCAGTGTTAGCCGGGGCTGGAACTAATGATCCACAACTCGATCTCTGTGACCTAACCCGGGGCTGGCATCCACAATACACCCAGGTGTAGAGCACCCGCTGGCTGCCCGCAGCCTGGACCAGGTTCTGTCCTGGCAAGGCTAGCAGAACAAGCCTGCTTGTGCTCTCCTCACCGCACCTCCCCAAAAAGCAGGTGTACAAGTTGGCTGGCCATCAGAGGAGGTGACTGCCCCCCTGGTGTCACATGTAAGGTTTATTAAACTGCAGAGCATCAGAGCTTCATTTGTGACTGGCCAATCCTCAGCAGCCTGCCTTTGTCATCCGTTGTCACTGACTGTGTTTCACTGTCACAGCTTTATTAGGATGCGGTGACACCTTGCCATTGCTCCTTTGTTTGGGCCCATTGACTGGACCATATGTCTGAGGAGTCTCTGCCAATAGATCTATCGTATATTAATTGGCTCTGCTTTGGATTCTGCAAACGTTGCCAGGCTAGTCATGGGTAGAAAAGGTGTCTTCAGGGGCAAAGATATAGAGGAATGGATAGGCCCAAGTTTTTTGGCCCTGAAGTTTATATAATTGTGAGGACCCTCTTTAAGAAAAAGACCACATTATGAATATGAAATTTTGGGGCGCTTGCAAGGCCCTTGGAGGGACCTATGTGAGTGGGATGGGTGTGCTGATAATTAAACTTCATTAGCTTCACGGTAAGAGTATCTCTTGTGTCAGGTGATCCACAGATGGATGGAAGCAAGCCTGCCACATCTGTGGTTGCCATTGGGGTAGACCTCTGCCGTGGCTTGCTTGAGGGTCTATCTATGGAAATCAGTCTTCCTGTTTAGCACTTAGCAAAGGAGGAGAACACAGGAGAAAGAAGAAGAAGATTCAGTTCCCAACACAACTTCAAGAAAGAAGAAAGTCAATTGCTCCACCTAACAGAGCACAAGCCACAGAGAGAGTAGAGAAAACAGAAGTGTCCAGAGAGTGAAACAATCTCTCACTGGGCCCCTAAAACTCATCAAGAAATGAATCAACACTATTTTGGAAGGAGGAAGAGGGGCTGAAGTAAAGAACTAAAATATTGTTCACTCATCCCACTAACGAGTCTTACTGTTGTCAGTAGGTAGAGTCATCTCTATGTTGGCTATTTGCTATTTGTTCCCCATCTGCTGCCCCCTTATATTGCTTTCATTCACTGTCTGCTCATCTCTACTTTGCTGTTAGCCCAAAAAGCTACCAGTATGGGTTGCATCGCCCAGGCTCCCTGGCCCTCTGGCCTACAGTTGGTCTTGGCCATTGGGAAGCACCAGCAGGAGACCAGAGGTGAGAGGACAGAGGGACTGGGGTATTTCTTTCCTGTTTCTCCCTGCTTCAGTGTCATAGTTCTGGCAGGGGCTGAGCCATTATGCCTCCATGATTACAGTTCTCACGGGCTCTGGTCACAGGCCTAGAGGCAACAACGACTTCCCACTGTTAGTGTCTAGGTGCCTCAACATACAAAGGACTGTCAGCTTGTCCAACTGAGGCCTCTTATGACTTTCTTTCATAGAATGAGAAGGAGGAGGAAAGAGAGAGGGATGCACAGAAACAGGGTAACAGGCAGAGAGTAAGATAAATAAAGAGAGAAACATACCTGAAATGATTAAATGAGAACTCTTTTTATTTGCTAACGTCAGCTTGGCCATTCCCAGTCAGCATTTCTGAAGGATCTTTGAAATAGAACCAAATGTAAAATGTTGATGATTTGTAAAAGCTGTGGGGATTCTTATGTGGCAATAAAGGGGAAGAAGATCACACTTGGTCTTGGAAGGAGATCTGTTGTTTTGAAGTTGGAAGTTGCCCTAAGGGTGGCCTTTTGGCAGAAACATTTCTCTCAAGTCTTTAGAAAGTGATGAAGGGTAAATAATAAAGATTCCATCTTCCTTTGGCTGCTGGTGGGTCAGAACCGTTTGGGCTAGAAGAGCCTGCTGGAGAGCTGAGATCTTAGCCACTGTGACCTCAATTAGTCATGGAGCTTGAACAAATTCCTAAACTCCAGTGACTCCATTTCCTTTCCTGTGAGATGGGATTGATGATGCCTATTACTTCCCCAGTGATGCTTCATGAATGGAAGCTCGCATAAATATCACACTGTACAAGTGCAAAGAGGACAAGTTCTTTTAGTAAACTGATGATACTTGGTCCAAAAACAGAGATTATCTTAAGTGTTACAACCATACAGGTTTTCCATGTTGGAGATTATAGCAATGAGAGTCCTAGCAAGAAACAAAATACAATGAGGACACTCATTGAACAAAAAGCCTTCTTACAAAGGTGTGGTCAGGGTTAAGAGAAACAGCAAGGCATGTTGAAGCACCCAGAGACTACAAAGAGTGGGAAGCCATTGCTACCTCTAGGCTTCTGACCAGAACCCAGTGAGAGCTAAAGCCATGGAGGTAGGGTCACTCAGGGTCACTTTCAATAAGAAACTCAGTCCTACTTCAAAAAAAGAGGGTAAGAGGTGAAAAATGCCACCATAAATCTCTTGGTTGTTTTCTCTTAAGCCTATTTTGGAAATAAGTGAACGTATCTATTATAAATCAACTAACAACAGGTAAACATTGTTACTGACATCACAGAGTTTGTTAACTTTTATTCCAGAATAAATTGTCAAGGCTTCCTTAAATAACAAACATTTGGCTTATTGAAGAATATATGCTCATTTAAAGGGGTTTCTGACTTCCCTTTTTTTTTTTGAAACTTAAACATGTTGATGGCTAGATAAACATACCTGAAAAGTAGCCTTGACCCACAGCTTCCTTACTGACCAGTAGTTCTTCTCTTTGGTGGTGGGTTCATCTGCCCCCTGACCACTAACCCAATATCTATTCTCCACTTTATCTCTTAAGAAGGGAGGCCCAGTGACCCAACTGGAGTTCCAGGGTTGTTGATTCAGCTCAGAGGTTGGATAGAAGCTTGTGGTTCTTCTATATAGAAACTTTCTCTTGTCTGCTTCATAATCCCTCTCTCACTACACATGCCCATAGAGAAACGCTCAATAACTTTGTCCAGGAACTTTCATGGAGGACAAAGCCCTTCACATTGGCCATAGGGTCCCTGAGGCCTGTCTGTGCACTGAGCTTTTTCCACAATGAGAAATAGATTCTCAAAAGCTGCATCTAAAAATATAACTTGCTATTGATTATCTTCCTGCATCAGGGAAGGCCAAAAGACATCAAAATCTTATGACCAAGAGAAATCCAATGAGCAGATGCCCTTTGCTCTGGGCCATTAGTTTCTTTCACCCTGCTTAGGGATTCTGTAAATCACCAAAAAAAAAAAAAAAAAAAAAAAAAAAGGAGAGTAAACACAAGGCGAGGGTGAGGCTAACCATAGAAGGGCCACTCAACCCACCATACTCCTGATCTGTCAGTATCTTTACAACTCCATGCCTTGTGCAGGATGCCTGAGTGAAAATCTTTCCCCAGGCTAAAATTCTATACCTGCTAGGAAGTCAGATGATGAAAACAAATGGGAAAATAATTGAGCTGGGGCTGTATTTGAGCTGCAAAATTTCAGAGATGAGTTCCCTCAGCCTAACTTGATATGAAGAATACAACTTTATTACACAGCATCTATGACTCTATATCTAAAAATTCTTTCAGAGCAAATTTATTTGTGGTTTGGACAATTTGAGAGTTTCAGGTCAAGGAGACACTAATGTCTTTAGCTGAGATTTGGAATGGACTGGAAGTCCAATGAAACACAGATACAGTCTTCATGAAGGGGTCTACATGAATCCTGCTGTCTCAGCTTCAGGACCTCCTACACTGGAACCTACCTTGACTATCCTTTTGGTTTCCCATTCTCTGCTATGGTTTGGCTTGTCTTCCCTCTGGCTCAGGCTACACTTGTCTGAACTTCCCTCTGGCCTTCCCAGTTCAGGTCATTCAGACTCCATGAAACTTGGAGATAGTTTAGGAACTGCCTTACTGCTGTCCTTCTCAGTGAACATAAAGCCAAGCCATCTGCTGCAAATAAGGGAATGGAAACTACAAATAGGGACAGGGTAGAGAAACTGAGGCAACTGATAAAGGATTAAATTAGTCATCAGAAAGTTTCAGGTGCTAAGGGGTTGGCATCGCTCATGCATAAGGATGGCCCTACAATGGGCGTTCATAGGCACCACTAAACAGCAGACCTTGAGGAAGGGGTGGTTGGATTGGATTTTTCAAGTTGGTATTGTCAAGGTGCTGATTATCAGTGGAAAGATGACAGCTCACTGGGCAGAGGAGAGGATTGGGAAGAGTGTTTGTGAAGTGACTACCAATGAAAAACATAATGGTCCAAAAGGAGGGATTGTCAGAATGCACCAATGGACTAGAAGGCCCAGCAGAGTCAGAGAACTAGAAGTCTTGAGGGATGGAAAAATGTGTCTGGTGAGGCTGGTAACATGTGAGAGAAATAGGAAGACAGCCAGGAGTGAAAATACCAAATTTCAGGCAGCACAAAGGGAGAGGGAGGAGGTGGCTTGGTTTAGGGTGTGGCATGGGCAATTGGTGGACGAGGGGAGGGAGGGGTCTGGACTGGGCTGATCGGTGGCCAGTCCTTGTAGACCTTGAGGTCAATTAGCCTAATGGCAGGAACAGATCTTTCCAGAGAACATGGAGCTGGTAAATAGCAGTGACTAGAGCCCAGGCCTCTGGGCTCCCTTCTTTTGTGTTCCCTGCATCAAGAAGCACTGCCCCCCCCCATCCTGCTAACATTGGCACCAGCTCACAGTGGAGAAAACTGTAGGAAGCCCCACTTAGGTCTCAAATTCCAGGTGTCAGGATGGCAGCCCCTTCCCTGTTCAGGAAGACCCTGGGGTGCATCTCTGTCTATGAGGTTGAGAATCCTGACTCCTGATCCACCTTCTCATTCCAGATGAAGTCCTTAGAAGTACCTACCTAGAGGTTAGCCTGGAAAAAATGATGAAATGGACATTTTCTTTTTTTTTTAGATGAGGTTCTTTGTTCTTTTCTCCTGGTTAGATCTTGTCTCCTCCATGACCCTGTGTCTGAGCTAGAGATGTCACAAGTGCCAGTCCTCAAGCAACACGGAATCAGAATCTCCGCATTCTGCTTAGTTCCCAGTTAACATTCCTGGCATCCAATCAAAGTGCTCATTTTCTGGTGCATGTTCAAAAGTCAATACCACCATCAAAAACAGAATTCAAAAAATTGGGACAATGTTTTGTTTTGTTTTAATGGAATTTTCCTCTTAAAAATGAAAATTTAGCTACCAAGAAATGGCTACCAGCCAGGAGAAAGGGACACTGTGATCCTCTGTAAGTCACACTACCTCCCTGGGCTTTCTCATCTTGAAATATCTGAGGTCTCTTCCAGCTTTAAACATATGAATAGACTTAAATTGTTAAATAGCTTTCATGGACCCCCAAAGAAAAAGAAAAAGTCTGGTTTACTTGTCGTTGTCATTTTTTTTTTAAGAGACGCTGAGAGAAATCCTGCACCAGTGTTGTTCCTATTCACCTCATCATTTCCTTTTCTTTCATTGCATCTCACATCTCGGCAGAGAGTTTATCTTTACTCTATTTCCAAAATCTCCCATATTATTCTCATGGTGTCTGTTTGACTCTATTCACTGTATTGAAGTTTGGAATACTGTTTTCTTGAAAGATAACACCCAAAGCCAAATTCTTATAAAAGACTGTCGCTTCGGTTTGAAGAACAGAAATGAGTTAGCAGTAAAGATAAGGCCCTCCCTTCACGTTAAGACCAAAGAATTCTGAAATCTTTAAGAAGCCCAATTATTAACTGCATACTTCACTGACGATGCCAAAATAGATACATTATACTTTACAGTAAAGAAATATCACCTTTAGCAAAAGGCAGGGACAAAAAGTCCATTTAATCATCACTTATACAAGAACTTGGAGTCCCAGCATGACTTATCCCTTATCGCTTCAAACATTACGTCATTTATTCCCAGCTCTGTTTAACTCCCTTGTGTTGGATGTCTTCCTTTACTGAAATTGATCTTTGTTAATACCAGGCATAATGTGTTCTTCATTTCTTAAAGGAAACCGATGGACTCTTGCCATGACAGGGGATAACTGGAAATCTATATACTCCGGACACCGATTCCCCATCAATACACTGAAATGTCTTTTCTTTAAAAATAACAGCCCTGCATGAATGTGATCACTTTCCCAAATTAGTGTAATTGATGCACCCTGAGACCTTAATGATTCAGAAAGTGCATACTCGAGGGATATTTAAATAGCTATTTTGTAGGGAGATAAAATATGGGCCAATTCACCGAACACGCATTCCTTCAGTTTAGGAAACACTCAGAGCTCGGCTGAGGGCTGGCCAATGTGTCAGGAGGGCTGCTGTTAAATGACAAAGAGGGCAAATGATTTTGTACTTGCATTATCTCATCCTTTTCTAGGCCTTCAGTGAAGGATGTGCAAGACTGTGCATTTGAGGACGTGACAATTATTACAGCAGGGATTATTAAAGCAAGTATTACCAAAATGGAGATAAGACTCAGTTTTCTAGTCTGCAAATTTGGGATGATAATAATTTTTACTTCCTGGGGATTGTTTGCTGATTTGAATCTAAATGAAGTGCCAAAGCATTATTGGGTCTGTAAAATAGCTCTGAGATTCCTTGGAACTTTTTCCTATGGCACCCTTTCTCTCTCCAGTGCAGTAGTGCTGTCTCCATGGGGGCTGTTCTGGAAATACTGAATACATGAATACATGAATGAGTAAGCTCCTCCACCAACATCTTACAGGCATGCTCCAGCTGTAAGCCAGGGGGAATTGGCTGTGCTACTTCCAGCTAAAAGGTAGCAAGTATGCCTCACTCATCATTTCTAAGCCCTTGGCAGACATAAATAATCAATCACAGCATTCTTCCCAAATGTGGCCTTCAAGCCATTTCTCAAGACAGCGTTCCAGGCAGCCATTACTGATTGTTCAGAGCTGACATCAGAGAGAAAAATCCATCTGAAATCTCTGAGGCTATCCAGATCATTGTCAGGGTGGAAAAGCTCACCCTGAACTGATGTTTGAGCCATTGATTGATCACAGCTTCCATCCTGGATTGTCAGGACTGCTCTCAATACTACCTCGTTGCCCTGTGGGTGGGGAAGGTAGGAAACTTAAGTCTGTCCAAGGGAAGAGGAGCTTGCTTTCAGCCGAAGGGCCTTGCAGAAGGACTTATCTGATTTGCCTTCACCTGGTGGTCCTGGACCTCACCTAGCCCACTTTCCTTCTCAAGTGAAGCAGCCCACTGTCAACTACCTGCAGTCTCTGGGCTTTATGCTCTTGGTCCAGAAATCCCCCAGAAGTTAACCAGTTTAATAACAAGCCCCACTCTTGCACTTCACTTGTATGCCATCACCCTTCTTGGTATGTGTTGCTTCTGACCTTATTTGGCCGTGACCCTTGCCCAAGACATCGCTCCTCGCTGCTCAAATTCTCACCTGAATCCCTAACCTCCTGATGCCTTCTTGTCTACTCCCAGTTATCTGGATACTTGTCTGCAGTTCTGGTGACTCCTGGCAAACACCAGGCACATTATGCTGGATGCATATTCAAGGATGTCAGCTTCTACTAAAGAAAGATCCAACACTTTCTCCCTGCTTTTCTTGGTGCCAGCTTCCTTAAATCCATTACCTAATTTAATTTTCAAAACACAGGCAGGAGGTTAATATAGCATCATTATAACCTATTTGGGACTAGAAATTCAGAGACAGTAAATAATGTGCCTGAGGTCACAGAGCTGGGATTCAAGATCTGACCCCAGAATCTGGACACTGCCTCCTGAATTAATGCATGCATGGTGGCCTTTTGGAGGGGTTCACAGTACAGGAATGTTATCTCTTTCCTCTCTTCTCTTCCCACCATCTCTAACCTCAGCTCTTCTCATCAGCACAACTTAGGCTCATGTGACTCATGTGAGGAGAGGGAGAAATAACAGCCTTCCCTGGTACAAGAAGCCCAATACAGTGATTTGTGGCATGGGGCCTGATAATTAACTAAATAGGATCCTTTACAATGAAACAATCTCACTAGTTTTTATTGCCACATTAAAATGTGAATCTTAAGCAAAACAAGAATATAAATCTTATTGGAGGATGCTGAAGTTTAAAACAATATATACTCAACTCAGTTCTCAATAGAGAGCAGTCTTTATTGAAGGCCATAAACATTTCTGCGTGCCAGAGGGGAAATATGACCATAAAACTGGCTTCTATTTAGTGATTTGGTAAATGAAATCAATGGTTGTCTGAGTCCCAGCAGGACTCTTGGGGGCAGTCATTAAGGCCCCCACATACAAGAGCAACATTCTGTAGATCAATGTCACCCAAGGGCAATGTTACTCCCTGGGGGTGCTTGCGGTATTTGGGATAGGATATATTCCTTTTGGGGGACTATTTTGGGCACTGTAGGACATTTATATCTCTGGGAATAGACCACTTCCCATTCCCAAAACTACTTCAATGCATTTCCTAAAGAACCCATTGGGGTTCTCCTCTCCCTCCTGTGTGAGCAAACCAGGACAGAAGTGAGCGAACCAAGGGTAAGTCTTCACTGTGTTCTCTCTGCACAGAGGAGGGTGCCATCTGCTTCTGACTTACTCCAAGACATACGATTTGTTCAGAACAAGAGAATAAGAGAAAGCCATCAGGGAAGGAAGACAAGAAAGGAGGTTAAGGTTTCCAAGAGATACTTATTTATAAAAGGTGAAATCTTGACTCTTACGCAAATATAAAATGAACATGTCACTATAATGAGGGAACTAATAAGATATTACGACTAGTTCAGAGGAGGATTAAAAAAAAAAAACCCACACATACATAGACCACCAAGAATGCTGAAAGTAAATATAGTTGCCAAACTGGTCAATATCTACAGGGGAACAATCACCTGCCTCCCTGCTGGACACAGTTTGCTTTTCTACAGGCAGGAATCACTTGCACTGTTATCAGTATTCCACATCCTGACAGCATTGCCAAATAGTTTATAGACAATGAAAGATGAACCAGAGGGACGCCAAAGCTAGGACACCCAAGCAATCATTTTTGCGTGTTTCCAAAGTTTTTCATAGCTGATGTCACTATGGCCACCTCTCTCCTGCAGTTCTCTCCAATCTCTCTTCCTTCTCTACACTCCAGCTATACTATCCTTTTTCACTCCATCAAAAAGGCCAAATCATCTCTATTTTGGAGACTTTGTGCTTCTGTTTCTTCCCCCTGAAAATCCATTCCTCCAGATTTTTGTGTGGTTGCTTCCCTCGCATCATTCTGTTTCAAGTCAAATATCATGTCTATGACAGACCCTTCCCACCTGTGGCTCCCTTTACAGTATCCCACATCACCCCTTCTTATTTATTTTGTTCTTGTGCCTGTGAGCTGGGTCCTCCCTATAGACTATAATCTTGGAGGGCAGAGACGGTCAGACCTGTGCACTGCCCTCCCCAGTACCTGGGTTGAGGGTGCTTCAGAAATATTTGCAGATCACCTGGTTGCTTGGGCAGCCAAACTGAGGCAAGCTGCTGTTCTCTCCTGTGGCTGAGAGTGGCACAGGTGTGACTCTTGGATCTGGCCTCTTAACTGGGACAGGAAGATGCCCTTGATGGAGCTACTATGAATTGTAATTGCTGAGGCCCAAAAAAGGATGGGCATTTCAGGAAATGACAGCTTGTACAGGTACCTCCGTGGCCAACTCCTGATGCCTCAAAACTCTACTAGTCCCCTAGGCATAGAGGCCATGCCAGGGAAAGTGGGTTAAGGAAGTAACCCTGAAGTGACCGAGTTTATCCTGAGTTGGTGAGATTGTGTTTTCTGCTACTAGGTGGAATGGGACTCAAGACACAGAAATTTAAAACTTATGTTTTGGACACCTGAGATTTGTGGCCTGAAATTATTTTCCCTGCTACAGAGACAAGTCTCTAGGCTAACCATCAAAAATATGTTAGGTCACGAGTGTTGCATATCAATGTGTATAAAAGGGGCCCCGCGCCCCGGGGCGGCCCCCGGGCCCCCCCGGATCAGAGGTTGAGAAGGTTGAACCTTTTGCCTTCATTAACCTACCGAGCTGTTCTCTACCATCTTGAACTGACTATTCTGTGTCTTTCCGTGTTAACTGGCTCTGCCAGTATAGTGAGGGCCAAGACGGGAAGGAGGTGGAAGAAGGGGAGAAAAGAGGGCATCTCTAATATTACTGTCACAGGAACTCTGAGGACATCTATTCATGCTTTCCACACATGTTAATTGGATGCCTGCATGTGTCGGGACCTATTCTAGGAGCTTGGGACACAGTGGAGAATAAAATAGGTAATCAGTTCTGCCCTTGAGAGTCTTGTATTCTAATAGGGGACAAGAATAATAAGGGATAAATAAATAATAAATAAGTAAATTCCATGGCAGGTTCAAAGGAGATGAGCCACATAGAAAAAGAAAAAAAAGATTAGGACAAAGAGGATCAGGAGTGGGTGGTGAAGGGCAGTGTGGTATTAAACAGCGTGGTCTAGAGAGACCTCACTTGAGCAAATTTGAAGGATGTGAGGAAGGTCCCAGAGCATCAGCTTGAGGGAGCCGCTAGAGAAAAGACCTTGGGGCGATGGGTCATGGTCTGTTTAAGGACAAGGACAGGTGTGCCTGGAGCTGGGGAGGCTAGGAAAAGATGTAGGAGGGCACTCAGGGAGTTGACAGGGGCTAGATTCCATAGAATTTTACAGGCTTTTTTTTTTTTTAATTTTTAAAAACACTTTACTTATTTTTGAGAGAGAGAAAGAGAAACAGAGTGCAAGTGAGGGTGGGGCAAAGAGAGAGCGAGACATAGAATCCCAAGCAGGCTCCAGGCTCTGAGCTGTCAGCACAGAGCCCAACTCGAGGCTTGAACTCACCAACTGCAAGATCATGACCTGAACTGAAGTTGGAGGTTTAACCAACTGAACCACCCAGGGACCCTGAGTTTTACAGGCTTTTACTCTGAAAAATGGAGGATGTGTTCATTTCCTGTGGCCACTATAACAAATTACCACAAATTTGGTGGGTTAAAACAATAGAAAAACATTTTCTCACAGTTCCAGGAGTCAGAAGTCCAAAATCAGTGTCCCTGGGTTGAAGTCAGAATATCAGCATGGCTGTGCGCCACAACGGCTTTAGGGAAGAATCTGTTTTTGCCTCTTCCAGCTTCGGTGCCTCCATGATCACATTGAATCCTCCTGTTTATTGGTCAAGTCTCCCTCTGCCTCCCTTTCATAAGCATACATGTGGGCTGCTCCAGTCTCAGAAGTTCTGGGGGGAGGGGAGAGTGGCAGTAAAGGAGCAAGCCTAAGAAGACATGACAGCAGATGCTAGGGCCTTTGGGGGCCAGAGACAGGAATGGCTGCTCAGCCCCAGATGCCCTCTGACCCAGCACTGGGGGCTTCCTTCTAAAATACCTGAAAAAGACAATTACCTGACAGAAAGGACCATAAACTGAAAGGGCCAAGCAAACATCCGAAAGTTCAAAAAGGCTGTGACCATTTAGGGGCCAGGACAAATATTCAGAGTCATAGTGTCCCTGGTGGAGGGTGGAGGGCAGCCAGAGCAGAGACATAGAACAGAGATCATGGCAGTGAGTTATGTGACTCACCTGGGGTGAGGCGGTCCCCAGCTGTTGTCACTAGCCTTCTGACCAGGAGGGAATGAGCCCAGCCCCAGATTCCATCTTGCAACTTGTTCTTCAGAAAACGGATATTCTGCCAAGTAGCCTAGCCTCATGCAATTTGGCCAGACCTATTTTGGAGGTTGTCTGACCCTTCCCAGCACTGAGAGGAAATGGGAGAGACTAAAGAATGTGCGTTAAGCACCTCCAGCTGCTGACATGCTGCTGACAGTGGCAGATAAGAGGAGTTGAGTGGCATACGTGAATGCAAGCTCCAATAGTCCTTGACTTGACTGCATTCAGATGGCTGGTGTGCAGTGTACTTGAAATTATTTATGCAGACCCATCAGCTCTGTTTGGGAAGGCTGATTAATGTTTGCAGGAGTTAGGGAAGAAGCAAATCAAATATTATCATGGCTCACACTGGCCCAGCCCACACACCGTCACCCCTGACCCCAGACACATGGTCCTTGAATGGACTTCCTTTTCCTTTTTGTCATTGTGAAAGAGACTTGTGTCTTAGGGATCCAGGCAACTCTCTGACTATCCAAAGGGCAGGTTTGTATGCTATTAACTCCTGTACTTCCCAAGCAAGGAGAATATATCATTTTTATAAGCACCCAAAATGGAGGTTAGAGCAAAGAACTGTAGCACATTGATATAGTAGGCCCTACGGAGTAGGGAAAGCACTCTATTCATGAGATGGGGAGTTGGGTCACTACTCACATTATATTGGGTGGGACATATCACGTCTCTGAGCTTCCATGTTCTCATTAGTAAATGGAGAGAATCAGATTAGAATAGAAACAATTCTTTCTTTTTTCTTCTTTTGCCTTGCTTCCTTCCTGTCTTCTCTCTCTCTCTCTCTCTCTCTCTCTCTCTCTCTCTGTCTGTCTCTCTCTCTCTCATTTTCTTTTAAAGTATGGAACAATTGTCTCAATGATGAAAATAATTGCACTGACATTACTTCTGTTTGGTTCTTGTCCCTAGCTTTTTAGGGTTAAATCATCATTCACAGAATAATTTATGGACAATCTGGTATATCTAAGGGTCAGTAAACTTCTCCTTTAAAGAGCCAGACAGTAAATATTTTAGGCTTTGTGGGCCATTCAGCCAAGTGAAAAAGCAGCAACTGACAAAGGTAAACCAATGGGAGTGACTGTCTTCCAATAAAACTTTATTTCAAAAAATATTGGGGCGCCTGGGTGGCACAGTTGGTTAAGCGTCCGACTTCAGCCAGGTCACGATCTCGCGGTCCGTGAGTTCGAGCCCCGTGTCAGGCTCTGGGCTGATGGCTCAGGGCCTGGAGCCTGTTTCCGATTCTGTGTCTCCCTCTCTCTCTGCCCCTCCCCCGTTCATGCTGTGTCTCTCTCTGTCCCAAAAATAAATAAACATTGAAAAAAAAATTAAAAAAAAAACAAAAAATAGGTGACAGGCTGGATTTGGCTTATGGGCTATCTTTTGCCCACCCCTGGGATAGTTATCCCAGCAATCTCCTTCACTCTTGAACCCTATCAAAGAACTCCAGAGTTAACCTCAGTGAGGGAGGAGTGGAGACAAAAGAACTAGATAACCTCATTTTCCTGACCCTAAACCAATAGCATTTCTCTTACACCCCAGCCTAGTAATAGAATATATATAGGCTCTATAAGGAATATTTTGTATTTGGAAGTAAATTGCTCTGTATTCATAGAGGGAAAAGAGGTGAGAGACAAAAACCTAAACTGTTGTTGACTTACCTGATGAGCAAATTGACAATCATTCCCCTCTGCCCCACAGGGCCAATGTCAAGTCCAGACTAGATACTGGAATTCATGGGGTCCTGCCATCTTCTTCTACCACAGCCCATAGAATGTCCCACTCTGTTTTCATAGTACTGGTTATATCAATAGCTTCCCAAAAAACCCAGTGTCAGGTTGTTAATTATATAATCAATCTGCCCATGTGAGGATGGAGATTCTAATAAGACTCTCAGGTCTCCACTGTTTTATAGTCATAGGGAACACCTCCTAGGCTAATGGTCCATCCATTTTTTCTGAGTACCATTTCTCCCCACCTCCAGGAATCACATCCTATAGGATATGTGCCTAAAGAAGGCCCAAAGCCCCAATTTCCTGCCTCAGGACCTTTGTACATGCTGTACCTGGGCCTAGATGTCTCTTCCCCCAGTTCTTACTCTGATTAATTCCTATTTAAGTTTCAGGCCTCAATTTACATATCATTTCTAAGAATTACCTTCCCTGACCCTCCAATGTAAACCATTCCCCTTTATTATTCTCTCTTAGTATCCTAATCTCCTCCCACATTTATCATAGGTGTTATTACATATTTAATTTTTGTCTTTTGGTTTAAGTCTGTCTTCTCCAAAAGAACTTAGGGGGAGAATATGAGGACCATATCTCTTTTGTACAACACTGCATCCCCAACGTCTCACACCATGCAATGAGTTGGCACTTACTTAACACTTGCTGAATGAATGACCCATCATTTTCTATTTTTGCAAAAGAAAAGAGAGACATCGTTCCAGTGGGCTGGAGTCTAAGCACTCTCTCCACTCTGCAATTTGGATTGAGGTTCTGTTATGGACTGCATGTTTATGTTCCTATAAAATTCTTATGTCAAAATCCTAACCACCAATGTGATGGTATTAGTAGGTGGGCCTTTGGGAGGTGATTAGGTCATGAGGGTGGAGCCTCATGTATGGGACTAGTGACCTTATACAGGAGGCCCAAGAGGACACCCTTGTCCTTTCCACTCTAGGAGGACACAGTCAGCAGTCTGAAGAAGGAAGAGGGTCCTCACCATAACCTAACTGAGCTGGCGCTCTGACGTTGGACCTCCAGCCTCTGTAACTGTAGGAAATAAATTTCTGTGGTTTATAATCCAGATAGTTTATGGTGTTTTGTTATAGCAGTTGACTAAGACAGGTTCTTACTCATCACATGCAGGACTGCTCACGGGAAGATGTAAGTGATGCACTCTGGAAACTTGCACTGGCATTAACAGGGGAAAAGAGTAGGAGGAACAGTCAGCAGAGTACAATGTCCTTGTTTCCAGAGTGCCAAAGGAAACTTTGGAACTCTAAACCAGATGGGCACGTGTTGTGTCTTCTTCCTCTTGTGGGTTTTCTTCTCCCTTGAGGAGAACTACCTACTCCTTGACATTTCCTAAACATATGGTAACCCTACAACTGTCCCCACTCCCATACTCCATCCCCAACACACCCAGTTACTTGGTCCACACTTAACCATGATCATGTAAAGTCCCTTTCTTGAGAATCCCAGTGGAAACTGAGAGGGAGAGATTCAGTCTCTCCCACATGTCAGTTGGGTGACCATGATTTATGTAGATCAGGAAAGCAGAAGGGATTTGTCTGCAGGTAAAAAAAGAATCAAACAGATGTGAAGGGAGGAGGAGAGAGAGCACTGTTGGATTCTAGTCCCTGATTCCATTCCTTCCCTGAAGCCCTGCCAATCTGCCCTCAGGTGATTTGAGAAACTCACCTTTTTGATTAGACAGATTACCTGCTGAAAAATGAATTTTAGGTAAATAGAATGATTTCACAGAGTGCATCCTCTTTAATCCTCATAGCAGTGCAGCAGGGGAAGAAATTTACATTTTACAGATGCTTTTTGGTTACACAAAAATTAGTCCTGGGCTTGAGTTTTAGTCTAATTTCTATCATAACCATATCATCTGAAGCAAATTAACTTCAGGCTGAGCAGCCTCAGTCTTCCTCAAGAAATAATTTGAGGCTGTGGGAAGGGTCTAGCAAGCGGTTAAGCATGAATCTTGTGTGTAACTTATGAAATCAATGACCCTAACCTAGAAGATTTTGAACAGGTGGGAGCTATCAATAAACTTGGCCTCAGTCTGTCTTCTCGTTCCTAAATGTGTGAATTGGATTATACAGTATCTAAGATACTTCCAGCTCTAACAGCCAACAGATTATTTTCCAGCTTCAATCACCAAAAGGTTTACTCTCCATCACAAAAGAGCTGAAAATGGCCAATAAATTTGGTGGGACATTTGGACAACACAATTATAGACCCACTTGTATCTGCAATAATTCTTTCTGGCTCTGAAGACCTTTGAAAATTTTCCCTTTTATTATGACTACATGGATCATTACTTGGCAAAGAAATTTCCCCCTAATATTGATCTACGAACATCAAGAATTACGTGCCAGGATAAAAAGATATAAAAATAAAATCTATTAACTTATTGAGAATAAAAGTCAAGGCTGAATTTTCATGAAAATTAACCAACAAATGTGACTAGCAAAACTGGATGAGCTAAGAAAATACTAGCTTAATTGACTTACCCTGCATCAGTGATTTTCAAGTAAATGTTTTCCAGTTGTGGGCCTCCAAGTTTTTCTTGATTGTTCAATGGGGAAAATTGATCCCCCAACTCTTAGTCTATTGTTGGCTCACTCTGAGCTGCAGTGTTGGTTGACATCTTCACTGTTCTAGCCAGGCACCTCCTAGGCACACTTGCTATAGCATTCCTTGAATGAACGAAATACCAGAAAACCAAGAATCTGTAATCTCACTACATTAGTGGGAAAACACAAAAACAAACTCTAGCTTTGGATCTGAGTTCCTAATCTGAAAACTCATTAAAATAGATTCTGAGTATGATGGCCTACCAGTTGGATTGAAAGCACTTTCCCAAATTGTCACCAAACTTAGAAGTAAGTGATATTCAGAAACTACCTATGATTTTTAAACATGCAATATTGAGAAAATCCAAAGGCATTCAATACATGATTTTTGAATGAATAAAATAGCTTTACATATTTATGTGACTATCAAAGTTTTTAAGTGTGTATACATAAGGTGTTTATGTTTCCTTACACATAAAAGAACAAAATGGTTTGGTTTGTTGTTTGTTTTTTTTGTTTTGTTTTGTTTTGTTTTGCATTTTCTGTCTGTTTAAATTCTTTACCTTAGTTTCAATGTCCACACTTTGCTCAGCCATTCCAAAGTATATTCTTCTGTATTTCCTTTGGAGGCTCATCTTCTGACCTTTGGTGACCTCATCATCTGAAACTTGAATGAGAATGGGGAAAATGGGATTAACTGGGCCACATAAGAAGAGTCCTTTGCCTATCCAAGACATATTATTATTTTCTTCCTCTTGTCACTCACACACACACACACACACACACACACACACACACACACACGGATATAGATAGATGATATATAGATGAACATAGATACATATTTATATAAATAGAGATAAGTAAGACATAAATGGAAATAGAGGTATATTTCTATTTTACCTGCCTTGTAGAGCACAATAAAAGTCCTGAATTTACCTCTTTTCCTGCTCCAAGCGGCATGTGATATGGTGGCGTCCTCTCCCTGTAACAGAGCTGTTCATCTTCATTAGATCCCCGGGTCACTGGCCTTCATTAGCTTGCCCGTGGCCTCTCATTTGATTTGCATTGCAGGCTTCCCATATAGGTAATGATTCTAATTTAGAAAATCTCCAGAGGTCACAGCAAAGAAGCTGGGCGAGAAAAAAAGATGGACAGAAATGACAGGAAGGTGCTGACTCCCCTCACCTCTGCCTCACTCTGCACCCTCCAGAGAGAGGAGACAGCTGCAGACTGCTTGGGACTGTGGAGCTTCAGAGCTATCCTGGTTTTGCTTCAGTAAGTGGGTACTCTTAGTTAATGCCACAGGGAGCTTGACGAAGGGAACACAGAACCTTAGCCTGAAACCACCAAAGGCTTTAAAAAGGCGCCAGCTCCTCTTGTGCCCTTTTCTCCTTTCTATACCATACACCTGCCGCAGCAACTCCCCCCTTCCTTCTTGTCTCAGGGCCTTTGCACATGATATTCCTTGAGCCTAGATCTCTCATCCTTCAGCTTGTCCCTGATAAATTCCTACTCCTCTTTCAGGTCTCAGTTCACATATGGTTTCCTATAAAAATACCTCGCTTGGTCCTCTAGTCTAAATTTAGTTCCCCCTTTTATTCTTTTCTAGTATCCTAGTCTCCTCCCTCATCATATTTATCGTTAAGTGTTTTAGATTTATTCATTGTCTCTTGCTTTGAAATCTGTCTTCCCCAGAGGAAAGTAGAAGCATGCTGTTTGTATCTCCCTACCCCAAATTCTTATGTTAAAGCCCTAATCCCCAATATGATGGCATTTGGAAGTGGAATTTGAGTGAGGCAGTTAGTTTTGGAGGAGGTCTTGGGGATGGAACCTCCATGATGAAATTGGCATCTGTATAAAGAGATTAAGAGAGCAGTGCTCTCTCTCTGCCATGTGAGGACACAGGGAAAAAGTAGCTGTCTACAAGTCAAGAAGAAGTCCCCCACCATAACCTGACCATACTGGCACCCTATCTTGGACTTGTAGCCTCCAGAATGGTGAGAAGTAAATATTTATTGTTTAAGCCATCCAGCCTATGGTATTTTTTGTTAAAGCAGCCTAAGCCTGGGGCACCTGGGTGGCTCAGTCAGTTAAGTGTCTATTGATTTTGGCTCAGGTCATGACCTCACGGTTCATGAATTTGAGTCCCATGTCAGATTCCATGCTGACAGTGCAGTCTGCTTGGGATTCTCTGTCTCCCTTTCTCTCTGCCCTTCCCTGGCTCATTCTCTCATTCTCTCATTCTCTCTCTCTCTCTCTCCAAAATAAATAAATAAGCATTTAAAACAATTTTTTTAAAGTAGCCCAAGCCTACTAAGACGGGGGAGAATATGGAGAACATATCTGTTTTATACAACAACACTGTATCCCTAGCATCTCATACTGTGCAGTGAATTGGCACTTAACTCATATTTATTGAGTGAATGACCATTAATTGTTGCTGTCGATAAGAGAAAAGGCCAGCATCCTTCCAGTGGATCAGAGTCTGAGCATACTCTCCACCTTATTACTTTGGCAGAGGGTCTTACTGACTGCTCAGTAGACCCTTATGTCCTATGAGGACTGCTCATTGCACGTAAGTGATGCACTTTGGGCACTCAGCCAAGGTCCTTGTCTCCAAAGTATTAAAGGACACTTTAGAACTCCAAGGCTATGTGGGCCTGTTCATCTTTCATCTCATGGGGGGGGGGGGGTCTTTTCCCTTGAGAACTACCAACTCTTTGATACTTCCCAAACTACATCAACTCCACAACTGAGCCCAGCCACCCTCTGGCTTGGGCTTAAGTTTATGTTTTATCATTTTCTCCCTCAGTCAGGCAGCACCCAGCCACTTGCATGAAGCAGAGGTGTTCAGTTTTGCAGTCAATAAAGCCAATTATTTGTATCAGTTTCCTGTGGCTACTATAACAAATTACCACAAATTAAACACATATTTATTACCTTACAGTTCTGCAGGTAGACACCTGAAGCAAGTCTCACTGGGCTAAAATTACTGTGTTGGGAGAACTGTGTTCTCTTCTGGAAGCTATAGGGGGAGAATCCCATTCCTTGCCTCTTGCCCATTCTACAGGCTGCCCACATTCCCGGGCTTTCACCCCTTTCCTTCATCTTCAAAACCAACAGGTTACATCTCTCTGCTCATTCTTCCATAGTCACATGTTCCTTTCCTGCTCTTCCTGAATTTCCCCCTTCCACATTTAAGGATTCTTGTGACTATATGGAGGTCCACTCAGATGATCCAGGATAATCTCCTCATCTCAGGACCTTACCTTAATCACATCTGTAAAGTCACTTTTGCCTTGTAAAGGTTCCAAGGATTAGAACACATGGACTAGTTTGTGGGGACTAGGGTGGGGGCATTATTCTCTCTACTGCGCTGGTAAATTATTCCCAGGACAAGTCTCAAAAAACAGGTGAAGAGGTTGTAGCTCCACAACTGACAGTTCCTCTAAGGATTCAAGGAATACAATAAGAAAGAGGTGAGGATTGGAACACTGATTAATAAACAAAAGGAGTGGTAGAATCCTCATGCCAGTGAGACCCATTCTCTAGCACATCATCCACTGCAATCAATAAAAGCCAGCTGTGAAAACATTTTAAGCCTGAAGAAAACGATGTTAAATAATAGACTCAGGAAATGGGAAGTCTCTGATATTTGCTAATAACAAATTTGGGGTATTCTGGGGTAAATCTTAAAGCTATTTGTGCCAGGAATTATTTCAACTGCAAATAACAGATGCAAATAACTGCAAATATTTGCAAATAAATGCAAATAACCACATGAAAATGGCTTAAGCAATAAAGACATTTTATTATTTCATGTAACAGAAAACTCAGAGGTAGGTAGTTCCAACATGCGGGCAGCAGCTGAGCATCAGCCAAGACCCAGGCTCTCTCATCTTTCTGCTCTTTCTCAGGTCAGTCATGTCTCCCCTTGTGGTAGTAAGATGGCTGCCACAGTTCCAAGAATCATGTCCTTACAGAACATCATCCCAAGCACAAGAGGTGAGCATGGGGAAGAGGACCCTTTCTTCTCCTCCTGCTATCTTTCATCAGACATGAAAACTTTCCCACAGAAGCCAGTAGACTTCACCTCAGATCTCACTCTCAGTGGGCCAGTTAGGTCACATGCCCACTCATTGGCTATTTCTTGGCAAAGAGGAATGACATTCCATAATTGGCCTAGACTAACCAGAGTTGTCCCTCTGGGGGTGAGCACATTGCCACTCCAAGTAGAACTGGGGGTCTCCTAAAACAGAAGAAGGAGAATAGCTATTGGGTTGACAACCAATGGTGTGTGTCTCAAAAACATTAGCTGCTACTTATTTTTCAGTGTGCTAACACATAAGTAGGTGGTTCTCCATTCAGAACAAAACAAGTTTTTTGTTTAGATCTGAGATACATATCAAGCTAATCTTCTCATCAATTTGGACCAGAATGATTATGGTAATATACACAGTTAGTCTAACTTTACCTAATTTTGTGTCAAAAATAAGCAAAGACATTAAAATTTGTATCCAGGGACAGATTCCTATGTGGTAATCATCCATTGTAAGCTATTTATTAAATACCTGTAATATCCCTGGCACAGGAGCTAAGCACTAGGTTTAAGATATAGTTCCTCTCCTTGAATAGTTACAATAGAGATGGTTAAGTATTATTACAGGTGCAAGTACATGGAACAAGGAGAGCCCTATGTTGGGGTTATGGAGAATGTTTGGAGGATGTGACACTTTAGAGATAACTGAAGGAGAAATGGGGTTAGCCAAATGAGGCATGAGATGGGGACTAAGTTATGGGGTGAGGAGAGGATGAGGAAGTATTCCAGATGAAGGAACTAGCTGTGAAAAGACCTAGAGGTAAGACTTCTTTTTTGAAAGACTTTATTTTTGAAAATAAATATAATTCAATATGGCAGGACCAGAGTGATTAGTGGTGTGAGGAGATAGACTGGAGTCACATCATAAATTCAGACTCTCTCTCAAGGACAGTGGTGAGTTACATAATCAGATTTGCATGTTAGAAATCTAGCTGTTGGTGGGGCACCTGGATGGCTCACTCGGTTGGGTATCCAACCTTGGCTCAGGTCATTGTCTCACAGTCCGTGAGTTTGAGCCCCATGTTGGGCTCTATGCTGACAGCTCAAAGCCTGCTTTGGATTCTGTCTCCCTCTCTCTCTGTCCCCCGCCCCCCCCCGCGCCCCGCGCTCGCACGGGGGGGGGGGGGGGGAGGAAAAAAAAAAAAAAAAAAACACCACACATAAAAATTAAATCTAGCTGTTGGTGGAAAATGGATTAGAGAGGTCCAGTGGTAGACTGTATTGTTGGCCCTATTGCTTACTGCTCCCTGCATCCACACTGTTGCCATGGCCTCATAGTGAGCCAAATATATTTCTCCACCTTTTGACTTTAGGCCAGGACATGTGACTTGTTTTGGCCAATGGCATGTGGGTAGAAGCAATCATGTGCCATTTCTAAGCTGAGTCCTTAAGAAACCTTGGGTATTTCCTGTCACCCTTTTGTACCTCTGTCTTTGCCATGAGGAGGACGTGCTGTGGCTGGTTCACTGGGTCCAGGAGGAAGAGAGGAGACAAGTGGAGCAGAACCACTCCAGCTGCTATAGTCTAAAGCATAGCCGACTCAGTTGCCCCACAAACTCATAAATGTTTTTGCCTTTATGGGATGTTGAGTTTCTTCACTATGCAGCATCATTGTGACAACTACTAACTAAGAGAGGGCCACACTAAAAACAGAGTGGTGTATTAGGAGACTATTGTAGCTGAAGGAGAAAGCTTATAGTCACCTGAACCAAGATAATGAGGATGGGGATGGACAAAAACAGACAGATTCAAAAGATATGAGAAAACAGAATTGCTATGACATAGTAGGTATAGAAAGGAGTTGCTTATGAAAGTCCCCTGAGGTTGTTTCTTGGATAATTATCCACTGAGATGGGGAGCACAAAGGGAGGATGATGTGTTTTGTTATGTTGAATTTGAGGCATCTGTGAGATATCCAAGAGGAGAGGTCCAGTAGACATGGATCTAGAGCTTGGGAAAGGTCTAAGCTGAGCCATAAATGAACATGCAGGTGGTCAACAAAGCCATGGGCCTAGAAAAAGACCCTTGAGGAAAAGTACAGAGCAAAAATGTGGAGGATAGAATTCTAAGGAAGCTGCACTCAAGGACAAAACTACAAGAGTCTTCAAAGAAGACCAAGGAAAAGTAGCCAAAAAAGAAAAAGAAATACCCAGGGAGTGTAGTGTCTGGGAGCAAAGAATAAGAGGCCTCTAAAAAAAAAAGGAGGGTGTGGTCAATTGTGCAGAAAACTGGTGAGGAAAGAGGTAAAGAATTTATGAGGAACCACAAAGAATATACCTAATTTACAAAGAAAGGAAAGATATTTTTGCCCCAGAAAGTCAACATAGTCCTAACCCCAAGGTCAGATGCTGAGATTCGTTGAGATGTTCAGAAAGTGAGCAAAAGCAAGATTCAGGGCATTTTGAGACATTATCCTCTCCTGGTCCCTCTGGATGAGCGGTGCATTGGAGAAGAACTCTGCTTTCCCTGCAGCAGGTTACCATGTCATCCATGCTACTCTACCAAGAGGTCTTGGCAAGCCTGACAAGTCCAGTAGAAGCAGTGTCTGATAGGTGCCAGGGCTATCCACAGTCCCTCTGACTCATTTCCCATTAATTCGGGTGAATTTTCTGAATGCCTTGGAAGCCTCTAATCAATCCAGCCTGGCTTCTGCTGTCGGGACCCATGGTAACGCCTGCTTTCAACAGCATAGTTGGCTCTTTCCCCTTGTGTTCTGGAGTCTGAGTTCTATAGACCAGCTGGGGGCTAAAATATCAATACCCCTCTGAGGGAGGACAGGAGGACACGCTGGAGAGGAGGTGAGAACGTGAGCATGTTGAGGAATGAAAGCCTTGCATGGCTCACATGCAAACACACATGGCCGCAGTGCCCAACACAGGATCTGCTGGGGCTCTCAAACAATTACTACATTTATGACCTCAGTGATTACTCAGGTTGGGGAACACCAGAAGTTTGTTTTCTTTTTCAATTGGAACTGACATTTCCCCACGATTGGATTCCTTTGAAATCACGGAATTGCAGCCCAGATAGTTCATAAATTTATTCTGTTCCACCTTGTAGCATTTATTACGAAGACCGATCAGCCAAAGAATATGGCCTTTCTGCTTTTTATTTCCTGCTTTACTGCAGTCACTTTTAAGATATGGTGGTGTGGTTGGCAGGATGGGGGTGACTCACAGGCAGTGGTAAGGGTATGACTGAGTAGAGAGAGGCATCCTGTTGCTCTCTGGGACTCCATCTGTTGCCTACTCCAGCCAGTCTCCTGGAGGAAGGGTCTGGAAAAAGATATCAAGCGTCCTGGGGGAAGCAGGTGCAGAGGGGAAACTGCACACCACGGTGGAGGCCACCCCAGAAGAATTAGAGTAGAGCATCCATTCTCTCCCACCTCCACCCCCTTCAGCCATCTTTGAGTCTAAAGGAAAGAATCATTGGTTAGAGTGTTCTGGAGAGGAATTCTGGGACTTTGGGCAGCTGAAGTTTGTGAGTCCTCATGTGCATATGTTGGGGGGGATGGTGTGAGACAGAAAGACTTATTTGTTATACAAACATTTACCTACTAGTGGCAGACTTTGGGTGAGAGCATGAGGACTCAACATTGAATTGTCTATGTCCTCCAGATGCTCCCAGTCACACGGGGTCACTGAGCTGAGAGTCAGGACAGGGTGGGCCCAGGGTGCCACAAGAGCACTAGGAAGAGCTTCCCAGAGGAAGTAGAGGCTGCTGCTCGGAAGGCCCCTTTGATGTGAGATAAGTGCCCTCTAAGTTGTTAGGCCCCAGGTGCTGAATAGGAAAGAAGGTAGAGGTGCAGGACCAAAGCCCATTCCAAGAACGACAGTTGTGTATTTGGTAGGCCAGCAGGGTGGAGAAGAATTCTCCTGTGTTGATATCGTGGCCCTCTCATTTGCTGGCTCTGTGGCCATAACCTTTTTGTATCTCTATTTCTTTAGTGTATAAAGTGTGCAAAGATAACTTGCCTCATTGGGTTGCTGAGGGGACTGAGTGAGAAAATCCACGTAAAGTCCGAGGAGTGCTTTCCCACCAGGTGCTCTTGGTAAGTACCAGCTCTTACCAGGGCAGGACCCGACGCTGTATGAGTTTCAGAAAGGACAGGGAGAACAAGGAACACCAGGGTCTGTACCTTTGTTCCTTGGGCCCTATTCACACAGAATGGGTGGCCGACCCCGTCAGAATTGGCCCGAGAGTTAATGTACAATTACTTTAAATGGAAAAAGGAGAGCAAAGTTTTTCTTCATCTCTTGTATGCCTTATTCAGGGTTTAAATACCAGTCGTAATTCTCATTCATTTCCTTGTGAAATAAATGGCAAGGAGCATGGTCTACTTCTCCTAATGGGGAGAATGAAACCTCCCATTGGTTAACTAACTCATCCCCAATCCCACACTGAGATTATTGAAGAGTGGGGACCTGAACTCTGATCCTCTAAACCACAGGCTCAGGCCTCCTAACAAATCACCAGGCTTCCTGTCTGTCATTTACTACCCAGCTAGATCTTCCCTCCACCGTTGCTGAACTGCTCACACAAGGTGGAATGATTTCATCGCGCAAGTCACGGCTCAGAAACAGAAAATGTTGCCTCGGGCATTTTCTTGGATGTTTGATTTTAATATCAAAGCTGGTTCTGACCATAAGGAGCAAATACCAAGTGACTGGCTCTCTTAGATTTCTCAGACAGCTGAGAATGGAGGCTAGAAGCAAACTAGCCTTAAAGGGCCAGCAGAAGGGACGGGGGCACCAGGTGACTTTTATTGGTGTGAGTGGGAACTTGACTCTGCCGTCTTAACTCTGCTCTGCTGTTCACCCAAAGGAAGACTGTGGCTTTTAATTACAGAAAATCAGTAGCTAGAATTATTAATAATAACAAAAGAAGCTGTTTGCACAGCAAGTAATTTGTGGTAATGTTTTGCAATTGATAGTCATTTCTATTATTTAAACACTAATTAATTCATGGACTCAGGAATGTATTGACTTTACTTACAGTGTTATGGCAGCCCTCCTAGCTTAAAACCATTCCTTACTGGTTCCTTTAGATAATTCAAATGCACTGTTTATTTGTTCTAGTTGTGGGTGTTTATAGGGCTTGCACCTTCTGAGAGAGCCTTATGGGCAGTTTACATAAAAATGACCACTCATAAGGTCTGGTCCTTCTAAAGAGTTAGTCTGATGCTTTTCTTACCAGTAGAATTCCCAGAACATCCCTTGGTTATTTGTTGAAAAGTCTCCTGTTATTGTTGGTTTTCTATGGCCCATCTGCAAACTGAGAAGGGTGGATTCTGTGAATGCAGCTGTCATTTTGCAGCAATGTCCTGGCAGGTCTGGCTTTTCTGCAGACAAGTTTCACAGAAATCCTTCCACCTCCCCAGGCCCACAGGTCTGCTCTCTGGGCTGCAAAATGAGGGAGATTAAGTGGTCAGCCTTGCAAGTTTTCGAAGCTATAAATTTGAATAAGTTAAGAGAATAAGTGAATATGCTTTCTTGCAGGTACATTGAAGGTTCTCACTGACGGCAAGGGAAAAAACAGAGGAAGATTCATGGGCCAGTGTCACTAGAGGATTCACTGCCGACAGACATGAGCTGCCTGTTCCAGTTTAGTATCTCTGCATCTTCCTGAAGGCTGAGTTTTACTATTTGACTCCTATCCCTTTAAACAACAGGCTGCGCATAAAATAAAATCTACTGAATCTCAACTGAGGCTCTAGGCTGCTATTTTATAGAAGATATTCCAGAATATTTTTCCAAATTTATTTACAAGATGGGAGTCTTTGCATTCCATTTATTGGACATATTAATTTTGTTTTTGTTTTTGTCTCAGGAAGACAAAGGAAGGCATTTATAAACTGTCAGGCTTCACCTCACAAGGTCAGAGCTGAAATCCCCATTTAGAAAAAGTCAACTCTAGAATGCAAATATGTTGTACTGTTACTGCTGGCTTGTGGCTGTGAAAGTCAGCTGGTTTCAGTCACCTTGAGAGATCACAATCATGGATTAATGTTCTTATAATTCCATTAGCTTTGTTCTGTTTTGTGGTTTCATACCATAGTCCTAACTTCACTCAGCTCTTGCAAATGTGTGTTACTGGTTGTAAGAAACATTTATTCTAAACTGAAGTTTGGTACTGTGTTCTTGTTACCTGTGGATGGAATTTCTTCTCATCTTGGACCTACCAACGTTGAGCACTTTCCTGAATCACAACTGGAAAGGTCAAGTCTCTTGGTATAGGAAGCCTTGTCTGCCTGGTTGAATCCTGACTTTCAAATAGCATCCCCCAGCTCAATGGCTCTCCTATCATTTTCCTAAGCAAGTCTAATGTCAGGTCTAAACCTTACCCCACACTTCTCTGCCGAGCCTTGAGTAAGCTGTTGTGAGCCTTGCCAACCCATCATGAGATGCAGCCAGGGACAGAACCTCTTAGGATATTGTACAACATTTGGAAGAGATCAAACAAGTAGACATGGTCACATTTTAAATAAGGAAATTGTCAGAGAACCAAAGGGCTACCCAAAAAATTGACTTTGGACTTTCCTTTTGCTGGAATTCATCAAGAAATAATGTGGATGAAAGCAACTAAGCTTTGGGGCTGCTGGGTGGCTCAGTTGGTTGAGCGTCTGACTTTGACTTAGGTCATGATCTCGCTGTTTGTGGGTTTGAGCCCTGCATCGGGCTCTGTGCTGACAGCTTGGAGCCTGGAGCCTGCTTCAGATTCTGTGTCTCCCTCTCTCTCTGCTCCTCCCCCACCTGCACTCTCTCTCTCAAGAATAAATAAATATTAAAAAAATTCTTTAAAAAAAAAAAGAAAGCAACTAAGCTTTTCTTTTTTAATAAAATAAAAATAATGAGGAGGGACATGCCCTAGACTTCAAAATATACTATTAAGCTGAAAAATAAAATAAATAAACATTTTGGTACAACTAGAAAAATACACATATTAAGAAGGCATAACCTAGATATAGACCTTGAGATTTATAATTGATCTATAATAAAGGAGGAATTACAAATTCAACAAATGGATTTGGGGTAATTAGATGTTTCAGGAGGAAAAGAATTAAATATTACTCCCACAGCATTTTATAAAATAATTTCAAATGAGTGAGATATATGAGAGAAGTGTATACACACACACACACACATACACATATGTACACACACACATACACATATGTACACACACATACACACACACAATGAAACTTAAAATATCATAAGAAATTGTAAAAGGATTTTTATGTGACATCTATATGGCAAAGGACTTTTTAAACATAAAAATAATTGGGGCGCCTGGGTGGCGCAGTCGGTTAAGCGTCCGACTTCAGCCAGGTCACGATCTCGCGGTCCATGAGTTCGAGCCCCGCGTCAGGCTCTGGGCTGATGGCTCGGAGCCTGGAGCCTGTTTCCGATTCTGTATCTCCCTCTCTCTCTGCCCCTCCCCCGTTCATGCTCTGTCTCTCTCTGTCCCAAAAATAAATAAAAAAACATTGAAAAAAAAATTAAAAAAAAAATAATAGAAGTTCAAATAGATTTGACTAAATAAAAATTTAAAACACTGTATCTATTTTAAAAAAATCATTGTCAATATTCAAAGACAAACTATGAAAAAATGCTTATCAAACGAGGAAAGCAAATGACAGTGGATCAGTTTTTAAGTCTCCCAGAATTCCCACACAAAGGTGAATCAGCTACAGAGCAAAAAATTAAAAAGCCATGGACAACATTTCCAACAAGTCCAAGCGACAAGGTATCCCCAGAAACCCCAAAACACAAGTAGGCAGGGCACATCACCAGTAGCTTCAAGATTTGCAAGGTATTAGCAGGTGTATCAGAAGAAGCTGAAGGAGGGAGGGGAAGCTGACAGAAGTACAGCCAATTTGAGAACAGCAGCTGAATCTAGAAAGGAGTTTGCCCAATCCAATAGCGGTGAGTGAAAGGGGGTCTGGGATGAGGCCTTGAGGGGCCCCGGAGCAGTCTTTACACTGCCTACTCTCGAGAGTGACCACTCGGAACTCTCCCCTGGGAGAACTGTCAATAATTATATATGTTGTGGCAATTTTTGTATTGTTATTCTGATAATGTTGTGTGTGTGAGATGGGCTAAAGCAAATGAGTACTTATGGAATGTTCTACCATCTCCTACATCCTTGAGAACCAGGATTTTGGCATGGATGAAAGGAGATACAGATGTACTACAGAAGAGGCTAAGTAAGTGAAAATCTTACAGCCCTGAAATTGAATTGGAAGGATGAGTATGAACTCATGAGGTGTGTGCATGCAGAATATGATATACGTGGTCCTAAGAATGATCGCCGTGTGCAAAACCATTCCATAAAAGCCACAAGGCTTATGGCAGAAATGAGAATAAAGGCACAACCCTCAAACACGTCATCGGTGACATTTTTTCAAGGGTAGACATTTAGCAAAGATGGTGGCGCAATTCTATACATGTTAAATGGATAAGAAATACATAAATAGGACAATAAATATGGCACTTTGCCTTGAACAAGACCTGAGGGTTGCTTGTGGAAGGGGGCATCGGAAGGGTGTGTCTTGTTGGTTATTGTGAAGCAGTGGGAAGGAGGCTTAGTTGAAACCGGGTAGAAAGTTGGAATACCTGCTGTGTGTGGGCGGCTGGCTCATTAGCCTCTGTTGGGCATTGGTGCTGAACACCAGAGTTCCGAGATCTTTTGTAGCCTTAAATCCTGGGTCACGTTTTTCTGCCTTTGAGATGGAGGCCGTTTGAGCATTGCATTTAAAATAGATACCTGTTTCATCACCATCGAGAATGTGACCCGATGCACAGCTTCTTCGGGTAGCTTCTGTGTCGCTGCTGGAAATTCTTTTGCTGCTTTCTAGTCTGTACTTGTGGCTTCACCTGACAGCTGAAAATTCTGGAGATTGGAGATATTCCAAACCACCAAACCAGCCACTCATCGCAGCAAAAGATGCCACTTCTGCAGGATTTGGCAATTTGGGTTTAAGGCCTTTGTGTATAGCTGTGCTTTCTCTCTGTCTGTTGGAAACATTAGTCCTGATTGTTTTTTCACTGTTTCATGTATTCTTAAGCAGCTTGGATCAGCTGGGTGCGGTTTTCTGCCTTCACCCAATATTTCTCCTGTATGAAACCACCCATAGCCAAACACAAAATTTGTGTTAGGCTCAAATTGTTCCTTAATATACCAATCATATTTGAACAAGTTTACATTTTCAAAACAAGCATTATAGCAGAACTGACTGTACATAGATATGCCCCCCCCCATTAATTCCTTAGGTGTGTCCACTCAAAGGACTAAAAACAGTGACTAATATTGTAGCAAATTAGCAACGAGTATATCACTGGCACCATATCCCAGTCTAAGAAATCAGGGCTTCTTGGAGGAAGGGCTGGTTTTGGGTCTGGGGCAGGTGTATAAACTGAACCTCATCATCCTGAATAGCAAGAAAGGTATCAAAGACTACTGGCACCATGCCCAAAGATTTCAGGAGCCAACTGAAGAAACTCCCACTTGCCAAAGATGGCAAGTTTGTATTTCAATAGGATAATAATTGTAGAAATATATTTGAATCCATCAAATATGTTTAAAGCCATAGTTTCTAGTGATTTTTTCTAGTGAAAAAAATTTAATTGATCACTAGTGAAGGATGAGAAGAATTTACTCATTATCTGGAAAACTGATACATAAAGACAAAGAATCAAGCATTTGGCTTGCCTTTGTGAATGATACTACTGGGTAACCAAATTGTAGATGAGAGGAAACATCTCTTTGTGGAAGTATCCAACAATAAATGAAAAAAGAAATGATAGAACATCACCATTTTGCCACCCCAGTGAATGAGTGGATCCAGGCATTAGCCATCAACAGCTGCTAATATCACAAAAAGGGGACATGCAGACACGATGTGCCTCCTGATGAAAAACACACCACCATCTATAATCTTGCCAAAGGGATCAAACTTAAGCCTAATCAAGCCTTTGGATCCTGCTACTAATTTGCAGGAAATACAGTCTCATTGGAACATATTAAACTGTTCCTTGAATATGCAATCAGCTAAATCCAGACTGTGGGAAACTTGACAGGTTAAAAGGCTCAGGATCTCAAACAGAAAATTTATAAAAAATAAGAGGGAGTTTGTGGAATTTGTAGGTTAAAAATGATTTTAAAGACCTACCACAGTTTTAGAAATTGGCAGTACCAAATTATAGTGTTTTAAGGGATGCACTTTTTAGTGAGAAAGCTATCAGGAAACACAAGGAAGTGGTTGCTGGAAGAAACAGGAGAGTCAGTAATTAAGCTAAGCTAGAGAAAATAACAGAAACTGTTCCCTGTGCAGCTGGGGGTATGGATTGAGCCTCGTGTTCAGTATATGTCTCTATGGCTGTGTTTTCCCTAATCAGCCTTGTCTCAGATGGTGCATAGGTTTGCCTCTCTAGCTGGACTGGTGTCCCCTGTGGTAGCAGCCATGGGGCTTCCCACCCGACAGGGCCTGAGTGGTCCTCTCCAGGATGAGCCCTTGCCATCCTCCCGTGGTCTGAGACAGTTTCCTGGGAGGAGCAGAGCCACCACTTGATCCTGAGATCTCCTCTCTAAGGTTGCAAATTCAGCCTTTTTTCCTCCCTCCATCCAGGAAAACAGAAAGGAAAAACAAATGCTGGGCCTGTCTGAACCATTCTCCTCACCATCCCTGCAAGAGCCCGTGAG